GGGGGGCGTGCAGGGGGTCTAGATTTATGACCGGGCGGCAGGCCATCACGCGAGAGCCAAGTAAAAGTTACGGAGCCGAATGGCAAATCATCGGACGGGCCCCGGGGAGTGGCGGGGCGAGGCAGGGCGGGAGGAGGCGAGAGGAGCAGGAGAGGGCTGGAGGAAAAGGGGTTTACGACACGGCTGAATAGAGCGCATCTCCAGCGTCGCGCGCGCGCGGGCAAGCAGAGGTGGAGGTGACAGGCTGCTGTATGGAGCGCGCCAGGCGCAGCGCGGCGCAGCGCAGCGCCACCAACACTCCTACAGGTTGGCTCGTAAAACGCTCCCGTTCATCTTTGCGGCCCCGCCCCTCCCCGCGCTGCACACAGACTCCGCCGCGCTTTGCCTTCGCGGTTCAGTTTCTGCAGGCCTCGGTCGGCCGGCCGGCCGTGCAGCCCCCCCGGCCGCCGGGCAGCCGAGCGCAGGCAGACCCAGGCAGCCAGCCAGGGCGAAAACTTTCTCATTTCATTATTATTTCCCTTATTACATTTCCCTGCCGAGGGGCAAAAACTTTTTCTTCTTTTCCTTCTCCGTTTCCCCGTTTGTCTCTCTCTTCTCTTTTATTTATTATCATCGGCGCGATCATCCTACCTCGTTAGTGTTCCAGCGATGGCGGATGCTGGGGAAGTGCTCGGCCCTGGGCAGGCTCTCCAAGTTGTCCGGCAGCTTGATCGGCTCGCCGTCTGGAACAAAAAGAAGGAACGATACGTGAGCCGAGTGCAGTATGGACGAGTGACGCTGTTGTGGACGTACACAGGAGAGTGATACACTTTGGAGACGTACATGGGAAGTGTGACACACTTGGTCTCAAGCACACTTGGAGAGGTTGGTGCACTTGCGCACTTGGAGACGTTACACAGGTGCAAACACTTAATGGCCGCGGGATACATTTTTGTATGAGGACTAGATGTGTCTTTGTGCACATCTAAATCGAATACAACCTTGTATGTACTTGTACGTTAACTACAAAAAAACAATGCATTGTACCTAGCCTACGCACAACTTTTACCTCCCTAAATACAAATTTGTATCTCATAAAGATGCGTGCAAAACATCAAACCCTGGTACAAAAGTTGGTCCTCCCTATTTAAAGTGTAGCTGTGACAGGCTTCCGGTCGCAGTTAGAGACATACACGCAGGTGTGTGTGACGCACTTGGAGACGTACACAGGTGTGTGACGCACTTGAAGACGTGCACAGGTGTGTGTGACACCCTACCACGAGAGACGTGGGGATAAAAATATGGTGGGGGAGGAGGAGGGCGCACAAGTCACACAAAAACGCAAAGTTGGCCAGAACAAAAGCAAATGTTTGGCCAAAACGAATGTCCACCCCCTGAGCCGAGGGAGGTTTGGGAAGGGAGGGGGGAGGTGAGCATAGAGCACCACCACACCAAGCTGCTAGTGGTGGAGGACGTTACACGGGGCGAGAGGTGCACTCAGATACCATACCTCCACGCCCACCTGCCAGCGCGCGCGGCGGGGCGGTAAAAGGTACGAAACACAAACACGTTGTGCGATACAGGCAACACAACACAAACGTCACCAGAACCGTGTTGGCGCTGCACAAACAGCCCCGCGTGCGCCGCGTGCGTGCACATCCCGCACTCCCCGCTTCCTTGTCGTGCACGTACCCCGCTCGCCTCCACCCAGCCCCCCGCCGTGCAAGCAAAGTCGTCACGCACACACACATACACACCCACACGGTAAATATTTGCCTTCCATACGCTAAATCGCGTGAGCCGCACGCCAGTGAAGGTGAATACGCGCGCGGGGCAGGGGGCGTATCGCGCGGGGAGGAGCGAGGAGGAGGACACGGCCGGGAGTGGGAGGGATTGAAGTTTTAGGCGACAAATGGAGTGGAAAAGTCTAATCCCAGGGATGGGAAAGATGTCGTCGACGGGTCGGGAGGCCCAAAAATGGGCGAGGTCGAACAACGCTCAAACAGACCGACACATTACAAATGCAGCACCGTCAGCTGTCACCCCGCGCCGCGTCAGGAGCAAGGGTGGAGGAGAAGCAGCAAGAGAAGGTGGAAGTTGTGAGCCTCCTATCACAGCCACGTGGATAGCCCCCGCGCGCTAGGGGATCCTCAGATTACGCGTTGGGGGGTCACCGGCACCGGCCCAACGCCGCACCCCACACCACCCGCACCGCTACCATACCGGGCCAAATGTCAACAGCAGCGGGCCCAAGGTCAGGGCCGGCCAGGGAGGTAGAAAAAAAAGTAAACAAAAATTAATCTAAAGTGCGCGGTATCTCGAGACTTGAGCAACAACACCTGGCGTCTTGACGGCAGGTTAATTTTACAGAGTCGGCTTCACGCAGAGGACTCAAGGGAGTCAGGCAGCGTCACAAAAAAAATGAACACTTATCTTGAGAACTGGTTTTTATGAGTACTTATGAGTCTTGATAGAAACTAGGCCAGGAGGACAGATTTAAAAGTTTCCTCGGTGAGACGGACTAACAGCTACGGGGGTACTGGAGGGTCTCTTCATGCCTCGCCGCGTGCTTCGCTCGCACCCACACCGACACGGAAAGGGACGCGTGCCCCATCGGCCCGTCCCACGCCGCCCGCCAGCTCGGCACAAGTGTGCCATATTTCGGGCAAATGATTCGATTCCCCTCCCAGGCCGGGCGGCCCAGCCGCGAGCGAGGCTGGGCAGCCAGCAGCAGGCCGGGGGCGGCTCGTACCACATGGCCCTTTTATCTGTTTCGGCTTTTTTGATTCGGCGCGGGCCGATCGGACAGATGCAGCCGAGCGACTTGGATATGCAGGGGTCGGTGTAGCAGGGGTGGCTGGATGAGAGCGACAGGAAGAGACAGAAAAGAGGGAGAGAAAGAGAGAGACAGAAAAGGGAGAGAGATAGAACGCGTCGCGGGCAGAGTTATCGGGGTGGACAGCAGCCAATGACGCACACACTGATAGGACCGTGCCGCGGTCACGCTGCCAGCCTGAGGTTATGTCACACTTACTCTCCGGAAATCCCGCCACCCCGTCCTGCCCCACCCCTGCCGCCCCGCACGTCACGAGGCCATCGCGGGAGAAGCAAGGGGAAGAAAACAGGGAGTGTGGGGACAGAAAAGGGGAGTGGGTGAGGGGCGGTCGGCGACAGGGAGTGTGTCTGAAAGGATCCTGTGGTCGTCGGAAGGCGGACGATTTGCTGAAAGTGCGTTATTCCTTCCTCCGCTCGCCCCCTCCTCCCCCTCCACTTCCCTACTCCCAGGGCCTCGCCTCCTCCACAAGCAGTCTTGCCCAGTCACTCCAAGCAAATCCAAACCATGAGCGGGTGGCTCGGGCCGACGGCACCGGCACGGCGTCGTCGTCGGCGCGCCAGCCTCTCTCTCTCTCTCTCT